CTATAGGTTTTTTACTATTGAATTATATATGTCAAGATCCATTTCTGTACCTTACATTTCAACGCACTTCGTTAAATCTTCCTCTTTTCTTACACAGGCGATTATAACTTTTGTAGCTTTCAGGTGAAAAAGTTGGCTTTTAGGGTTTCTAATTTACTTGTTCCACCAGAAGCCCATTGATTAATTTTGCGATTTTTTTCAAATGCGAATACGGGATAATAATTTGGCATCAGGGTTCCTTAAAACTTCTTCATTCAACTGCGCCTCCGCTTTTTCAAAACACATTTTTCTTGAACAAATAATGTAATGCTTTTGTCTACAATAAATTACCAGTTTTTTAAGATTTCCTCTGTTAGCCTAATTTAAGAAGAAAAAACCGTTTTTGGTAAAAACACAAATAGGAAAGCCATTGTTCCAGCCTTTTCTTTGGTTAAAATCTTGCTTTATTCTGCACCATCAAATTTGTTTTGTTTACTTTTTTATTTAAAACCTAAAAAAGCGCTTTTATGGCGATTTAAGAAGATGAAGTCGATGAAACGATCTTTCTACGGAAGACTGTCGAAAAACAGATTCAGTCTGCAATGTCTGAAAGCAAAAAAAAAACTGACTGAAAACTAAACATCGTGAAGGTAGTCCGTCTCATTTTTAAAATTAAAGTTTAGAAAAATGAGTCTGAAAAGAAGTTTATAGCTGCTAAAAGTGAAATTCTAAATCAAGTAGTTGTTTACTGTATACGAGCAATGAGAACGAGAACTACTTTGGAATAACGAGTAGTTTATAAGCATAATGAATCTCAAGGAGTTGTTTTTAAATTGTAAATATTTACTTTATTGGTTCAAAACTAAGCAGTTTTTGAGCTGAACCATCATATCTATTAAAAATAGGTGTCGCTTGTCAAATAAAAAAGGATTTTACATTTGACAATGTCAATAAATGTTTTATTCAAATGATAGAACTGAACTCACATTAGCTTAAAGCAGCGATCATAGTTTAATGAGTTATTTAGATAGTAATTAACAAAAAGTTTCTAAATGTTGATAAGAACATCACAAAATAAAAGTCCTGTCTGGCATTAAAAAAAACGCAAATAAATTTTTGAAGTAACTATTATTACGAGGAGGAGAAAATTATTGTAGTTTGATGACAGTCCGACACTTCGTCTTCCAAATACCGCAAAAAAAAATTGAGAATCTAGAAGAGTAATTTCCCTTACGTTTACCTCATTTGTTCCTTATTTGCCAGGTTTCTTTTCCGCTTACTATCGTTTTTTGAAAAATCTCGATTCCTTTAATTGTGAAAATATTTTGCTTTGTTTTGGTATATAAACCATGACTGCGGCAGCAGTTTTCTCATTTGTGGACCTTTGGATTTTTTTCCTGATGACATCTCAAAGTTATAGTCAAGTTACCAAGTTTGCTTACTGAATTTTTACCACAATAAATATTTTTGAGCTGTCACAAAGTCATGTCGAAGCGAAGAACAAAAATATGCTTATTATTTATAAACCAATCTAATTCTTTGTGTTTAGTCGATAGCGAACGTATTATTTGCTGCTAAAAAGTTCAAAGTAACCACTTTTCAAGACATTTTCAGAACTCTGTATGCAAAATTCATTTTAGGATTTAATGACTCAACATTATGATTTCAATTGTCCTGTAAAATTTCACGTCATTTTCACTAAAGCTAACTTACTCCAGACGACCTATGACTGCTGAACAGCTTTTACGATTAGCCTTAATTGACTTTTCAAATTTTTGTAATGTTTGCTGTCACCTGATAAGAACAACCAAAAAAAAAAACACATTGAGAAAAGTCTATCAGTCTTTTTTTTTTTCAGCTTACAGTCTCTACCTTTTTGAACAAAAACTTAATTACGTATTCTTGAAATTAACTTGGTACGAAAAAAAAACTAGTTATTTATTTATTTATTTTACTTGAATTGTGCTGAACTTTAGGACTTTTTTAACAACAGTTTAATTCAGTATAGTCATCTGAAGAAATTAATTGTATACAGAAGAAAAAACAACAACCAGTGATCAATTTCGTTTACACATATTCAGACATTTTTCAAGCATATAGAAATTTTTGGAATGTTATTAAAATTAGACAGCCTTTTCCCTTCTTTTTTTCTTGCATTCTAGGATCAGCTCATTTTGTTAATACCATGGGTTTTGTTCGACAGATCCACCATTGTTCAATGAACAACAAAAGAATTTTATGCAAGTTTTACTTGGTTCCTTTCTCTGTTTCGTGAAATTTTTATTGTGGAGAGGAAATTGCAACGAAAAAGAAACAAGAACATTGTTTAATGAGTTATTTAACTAAAGTTAGCTGTTGTTGCGTGAAAGAAGAACCGCAGTATTCCAAAAGTTTATAACTTTTAAAGGTTTTCCAGTGCGAAATCTAAAATGTTACGGTAAACTACTTTAGGCAAATGTAGTGTGGCAAAAGATTTCCTGAAAAATTTCGCAAAAGACTTCAATGATTTTATCAGCGATTACAAATGTAGTTCATGTTTTAAGCTAAAATTTTTGCTGTATTTACCTCAGCAACAGCAGAATATTTATTTGTTCTTTTCACTCAAAAAATCCAATATATAGCAGAAGCATGCACTTGTATAACCGAAGGAAAATTCTGGTTTTTTTTTTTTT